ATCTATGTACCAAGTTTCATTGAAATGTGATGATTAGTACTTGAGATATCAGTGGAAAAACCGAAAATTGACTAATCATTATGCAAATTAGGTAATTAGTATCCACGGATTATTACCAAAAACTAATCAAAACCTAGCATTAGTTCAGAGCATCTATGTACCAAGTTTCATCAAAATCCAATGAGTGGTTGTTTAGATATCAGTGGAACAGTCATGGAACCACTAAAAAATAGCTAATTATCATGCAAATTAGGTAATTAATATGCACGAAGGTTTACCAAAAACTAATCAAATCTGCGCATATGTTCAGAGCATCTATGTACCAAGTTTCATCAAAATCCAATGAGTGGTTCTTTAGATATCAGTGGAACAGTCATAGAACAGCTAAAAATTAGCTAATTATCATGCAAATTAGGTAATTAACGAGCATGGATTTTTACCAAAACCTAATCAATCAAATCTGCGCATTGGCTCAGAGCATCTATGCACCAAGTTTCATCAAAAACCGATGTATGGTTCTTGAGATAGCAGTGGAACAGTCGGACACACATACACACATACACCCCCCCCCCCACACACACACACATACAGACACACTAACTGCAAAGACTCCCATTTTGTGCTTCGCACATGGGAGTCAAAAACGAAACCTTTTATATTGCTAAGGTATGTATAATTGAAGCCATCTAGTAATGTCAAATACTTTCCAAAACCTAACCCCGATGTTGTTCTCACTCAGTTGTCGTCCGTGGTTTAAAAACACAATTACAAAGGCGGAAAGACGTGAAGCCCTGAGTCAGTTTTTTTTTTCTGTATCGTCACCGTGGACTCATGACACTTACTACGTGATTATCGTAGTAACCCCCGCATGCATTCTCGTTTACCGCAGCTAATTTTCATTATGTTTGAAACTACTGACAACTTCTCTCGTCCGCCGTTCAGAATTCTTTGGAAACTTTTTCTGAAATATTAAACCTTGAAGATCCATAAAATTCAGCTTTTAATTACTTGTCCGGGATGATTCGACAGGTAAGTTATGATAGGGGCCTTCGGGGACAAAAAAAGTATTGAGACACGTCTCCCTCGTGAAAGTTTTTCATGTACCTTAAACGAGGCTCTCACTTGAATATTGTCCTCTCAATCTTATATAATTTATTATATTATTATTTATTATATTATATTATATGTTTACAGTTGAATATACGGTGGTGTAAAGTCCAAAGTGCCAGAACACGTGTGCCAATATATACTGAACAGAGAATTGTTTGCCTAATACAAACATTGCTTGCATTGAGCTGTGCACAAATGTTGGTTCAAATCCCAAAACCAATGATACTAAGAACTTTACGTTATATACGTGGATTGGAAAATAAAATTTAAAAATGTAGGTGTGTGTTGACACCTAAAATGAAAATCACAAAACCAATTTAAAAAATACAGTTCATTTCACGTCTTTGACAGGACCAGATTGTCTGACGAATATCCGAGGAACAGAGGCGGCGGCACTAAATTTTGCATGGAGGGGTGAAATCTGCTCACCATCCCATTTTGAACTCTAGACCCTCTGAAACGCTATTTCTTGCATTTTGAGGGACATATTCTGCTGACACAAAGGGTTTCAGCTTGGTTTTAGGGGGCGACGCCTCCACTCTAACATTTGTTTTCGAGGATACGATCACCACCCACCCCCTCCCCCCTTCGTGCCGCCGTCACCGAGGAAATGTTCAAGTCCAAGCAAGGTCCATGCTGAGTGTGCGGTCTCCGGAACGGACCCTGCCTGTATCGTGCTTAAGTTTCTTTTTCGCAGTGTACATATCAGTGTTGACCGGGCAGTAGGGAGTTTTACTAAAAAAAATATCCACGTTATGAACGCCATGACGTCACCATATAAATTTTACAACGCCCACTAATAAATTGACAGTAGATCTTTACCCTACTGATTGGTATCTGACTCTGCTGTATTTGTGTCAAATATGAAATATGTCAAATTCCCATACCCCACCCACCCCGTGGTAATCATTGATAAGTGCATCATGCTCGGTTAGATTCTTCCGTACTTCCTTTTCTCCCGAGTACCGAGTATATCAGATGTGTCGTCATTATTAGGCGGTGATACTAAGGCTAGCCTTATAGAAATGCCAACTCAACACACATTACATTACATTACATTACATTACATTACATTACACAAATAACAACCTGGAAGTTTATTTGACATTCATTTATCATTCACTGTCGTTATCACCCGAACAGATCTTTCTCATGTGCTTAAACTATATAATTCCACCATGATTTATTAAAATCAATACCAGTATTGAATTTAGTAGCCCCAGAAGGACTGACTCGCCGACATTCATACAAAAGGCTTTTTGAAACCATAGCTCTGTCCGTTCTGCAATTAATTATACTAATTTTAAATTTACTGTTAGGATATCTGAAAAAGCCAATGAGTTGCCAACATATGCCGCCATATATAACACCTAAACTTAAGTACACAGTTACTGCAATGAAACACATAGAGCTGTATCATTGTCTACAAGCATGTTTTAAAAAATGCCGATCATCAGCTTTCATTCAAATTCACATATTTAATAGTGATTGGATCAAGAACTAAATGCCCAAAATGTGCGCGCATTCCTTTGTGTAATACTTATTAGAACTAGTGCTACAATACATCAATTCGAAATTTAACAGGCATTTTGATTTACAAAACGTTTACACCGGGTTTCATGAAGATGTGAATTTCTTTAATATAAATATAATGTCACTACTTGTACTTACATTTTTTTAAATATATTTTCAGCAAACTAATGATGGTAATTTCAAGAGTTTTAAATTTGATGAGATCCATCTTTTGCCTTCATGGCACTAATTCGACCAAAAATTCAAGAAATCACGCAAAGACTCATGGGTAATTGCGTTACTAAATTGTTTCTATAGCCAATGTTTTTGAATTTGTTTATGGTTTTGAAAATTCACGTCTTCATGTAACCCGGCGTACAACGTCCCCGGCTCTCTGTCTTTCATTTTTATAAATTTTACAATTCAAACTGGAACAAGCGGCTTTAAGCGTGTTTTCAAAAATGTTCAAACTAACTGTTACTAAGGAGAGGGGCATCCATGCTGACGACCGTTAGTACTTTCTATATTCAAATAAGCATTTACACGAAACAAATGGGTTTGGCCATTTGCAAGTCTGGGGATAAAAGGTATAACTAATGGAATGTTTTCTCCTCTTTTTTTAGTTTTGAGCTACATTTTTTTCACGATGGTAAGCTTTAAAATAATATTTCTTATTTTTGCTTTTCTTTTTTAAGTATGTGTTGATTATTTTTTTGTAATTTGCACTGTAGATTTTTTTTTTAATTTTCTAATTTTTTTTTCAAACCCCATCATCTCCCCTGACTTTTTAATGGTCGGCCCTTAATCTAAAATGTACTAATTCTACGTAAACCTTCAAGATCGCATCCATCTCGCAACAGGTTCACTGCGCAAACACTTTAATGCAATTATTGCCAAAATCAGCCACTACAACCTTTCCAAATGGTTTGTCATCGGTGATGCATATACCCCTGGGGTTACACAAACCATCTTTAGCAGTGTCAATACGAGTCAAATATTTGCCATGTGAGTCGTACTTCTGTATTCTGTGGTTGTTGTGATCACATACGTAGACATTGCCATCTCGATCGGTCGATACACCCAGTGGATTCTGCAGCCGGTCGCTCCCATTTCCACAATCCCCAAAACTATATAAGTACTCTCCATCGCCGTCAAAGACTTGCATCCTGTGGTTGCTGTTGTCGGCCACAATCACGTTGCCGTCGACGCCAATTGAAATCCCCCACGGATTGGATAGTTCCCCTTCTTTGTTTCCCTGGGAACCGAAAGATTTGATATACTCGCCATCTTGGTAGTAGATTCTTACGCAGTGGGAACCGTTGTCCACAACATAGAGGCGTCCGTTTACTGGACTGATAGTAATACCCCGCGGGTATTTCAACTCTCCGCTCCCGAAACACCTGATGTATTTCAAGTTCTCGTCACAGATAATCACCTGCCTGTTACCATTTCCTGTGATGAAAAAATAACCATCGCGTGATTGGGTGGCGAAGTAAGGTAAGAAGGCATGGTCAAAGTCGTTAATCTGAACAGTTTTCTTGTGATCTCCGTTTAGGGAGAAAAGCTGAAGTCGATTATTACCCCTGTCACAGACCAATGTGCCACCATTCCTTGTGACCGTCACGCTCTCGGGGTAGCTAAACTGTCCCGAATCTGTTCCAACCTGGCCATATTTATGTAGAAGACCTCTCTTGGGGACAACGTATATTATGGCGGGCGATCTCTGAACAGATCTGTTATGAACAAAAACTGCTAGTTCGTGCTTCCCTTCAATTTTGCCTCGATATCTCAAGGTGTGAGTCCCGTCTTTATTGTCTGTCACATCCACTTCTTCTCTCACGTTGGATGGCGTCTTCATTTCAGCTCTTATTTTCCCGTCTGGTTCAGCCCGCTTGGTCGCATTTTCTGCATTCATTGTTGTCATATTAACTGATATCTCCTCGTCAATTCTTCCGAATTCGGGAACATCTCTGAGTTCGAGATAGTTGTGCTTGTGAAATATGGTCACACCTAGAACCAGTGTCTTACAATAATCTTCAGAAGGTTGAAACTCTATGTAATCGTTCTCTACCGGTCTTTGCTGCGTTTTCACTTTCAGTAGGTCTTGAATTTGTGACGTCATATCCTTCCATGAATACATCATCTGCGTGGCGTTACCATAGTGCAAAAGTTTCTCTGCGAAATCTCTAGCATGTCTCATGCTATTCTCTGCAACATGCAGCGCGTTCTGTTGTTCTTCTAGATTGTGTTGTCTGGACTTATATACGGCTCTCATCTGTTCCAATAACTCGGCCCCATTGTTACGGATCTGGTTCGTTATGATTTCTACCGTTTCTTCAATATGCTGCGTCAGTTTAGATTCTTGATCGCGGAACCGAGTCTCCAAACTTTGGGACATTTGACGCGCCTCGTGTTCGCTTCGTTTAGCTTCCAGTTCCTTTTCCTGCAACTTCCCCAAAACTCGTGGCAAGTTTTTGGTGCAATCCGTCATTGCCTCCTTCACGTATCGATACCGGTGTTCAGTTATTCTATGGTCAACGGCGGTGCACTCCAAACAAATCGGAACTGCGCACGTGTCACAATAAAACTTAAGTTGGTTATCGGGATGTGAGGAGCAATAGACAGGGGGTTGAACACTCGCAAAATCAGCGTAGTGCGTACTCCTGTATTTGTCTAGGGACATCAAACGGTGGGACTTGCTGAGAGCGATCGTCTGGTGAGTACGGACGCATATATCACAAAGACCAATGGCACAGTCGATGCACTGAGTAGTCATGGCACCCTCCCTACATCCATCACACTTCATATCGTCAACCGATCTAGCAGACTTCTTTTTGAAAAGAGCAATGAGCTCGTTCACAAAGTGGTTATTTGACGCACCTTTTGTACCACCAGGAAGGTCATGCCCTTTTTTGCATACCGGACAGAAGATGTGTTTTCCACCATTTTTCGCAGCTAATTCATTTAAACAGTGCTGACAGAAGCTGTGTAAGCATGGTAGAATTTTGGCATCGCTGTACCACTTGGAACAGAAGGAACATACAAGGAAACTCTCGTCAATTTCTTCTGTGACCATACTAGCTTCGGTTGAATCCATTGCAAATGCTTCGCTGTTGGCGTGTGACTGAAAACGTTCAAGGGATATCGCGGTCCCCTAACGCGACGTTAAATTGTCAATATTGGATCCGCCGCTTCCTATTCGATGCCGGAAATACCGAAAATGAATAGGTTAATATACATACAACATAGGTGGTCTATGACACCATGCTACTTTGGACCTGACGTCATTGCTTGTGCAATCATACTTTTAGTCCTATAGGGCACATGATGTCAAATAACAAATTTATAATATACAACACCTAATGTATACTAATAAAAAAATTCTAACAACAAATACAGAAACAACATATTTCTACTCTCAAAACAGAATGTGGTGTACAGTAGTTGTAGTAGAACATAACCTAGATATATTGACAGTCTGGTTTGATCTGGTAAAATATTAATTTATAAATCACTTATTGCTCGCTTGGATGTACTAGAGTAGGTCCATGATGTTTGCTATACTGCTGGCGTACGACCTATAGCCATAGTTCAAATACCATGATTCCCGTTTTCATAGAATTGTCTTCGAACACACAACCTAGATTTTCTTTCTGTCACGCCTCAGCTAACACGTGTAACGGAATCACTGTGGAATTCTAAATGTACTCCATCGTACTCCATTAATTGCTCGGATTAGCAATAACTGCTGGAATTTGTGATATGACAGTACAACAATATACATTGAAAATATACAGTACAAAACCATGTACTTTTTTTCTAAATCAGGGTATTATTGTTTTACTGTTATATCCATTGGTCTAATGGTCTCAATATATCACGTGGTAGGGCTGCATGATGAGACGAAGAAGATAACACAATCGGGTCAAAGCACACGTGTGGCGGGATACTCAGTTGACTCCACGTAACCCTGGTTACAGGGGGAGGTCACGAGCTTTATATCTTGCCTGGAACAGGGTGGTGAGGTATATCGCCTCAATGTCTGTCGTCGTCATCGTCGACAGAATAACTCAAACTCTGGAATATTATCAACCGATGTACTGGCAACAAATGTTAGTCTCGGAGTGAAAACATGAAACCAACATATAAGTGCAATTGGATACATTTGAATACTGATCAATTAAGATTAACTTAAATTTCAAATCAAGTAAAGACATTATATACTGAGAGTGTGGACAAGAAGCACTTTATTTTTATCTTGCCTGAATCATGAATTAAGGGGAGAAATGTCTGTCGTTCTCCTTTATGTTGCTGTCTCCGTTTAATCTTTCTTTTGAAAGGAATCCTAAAACAGAGACAGATTCACCGATGTGCATCCTATGTAATGTAACTTCTGTGATCAACATTGCACACACATTGAATGGCTATAAGGGCAATATCATAAGTCTATTTTCCAGCTATTTTATATTGGGTTGCCCACAAAAATCAGTATTTGCCGAAGTCGTTGAAAACATGACAATCAAATTGCGCTGTATATGTATGTATTCCACACGTTGTTTAGAAAAACTTTTATGTTGCATCGCGACAGTTATCTTTTCTTGGATGGATAATTGTACAGTCACAGCAATTTTGCAATATGGAAACAGACAACAACTTAGCTATAGTACGTACCTGGACAAAAATCAATTAGTCAAAAATCAAGTGGCACCAGGGGAATTGAGATTGTCACAAATCTTTTTCATAACATTAGATCATTTGGTAGCTCCAATAAAAATGTCTCTTGCTATATTGCAATGTTCATACTTAGGGAGTTTGCTAACTCCCCGTACGAATCTCTTTTGCATCTGTTGTAAAAGAATAATTTCATACACAATTTGGAAAACCTTCAAGTTGTGCACGTTGTCAGTTATATGTTAGTATCCAACCAATCGGGAGCTAATCCATTGTCAAACCTAACTGTTCCACAGCATTCGCCGACTGTATACAAATAAGCAGCAGTTCAAGTGCAACTGATAAGAAACAATAAACAATCAAATATATACTTCATCTAAGCCTCCATAAAAACAAACATTTATGCAAAACACAAAAGTGATAGTTTGTTCATCATCCCGGCGAAGTTATTTTTTTATTTCGCTTCATCCATAGATCTTAGAGAACAGGGACATGCAACTGTGGATATCCCTTTCATGTAAGCTTAGTTATAATACTCTACCCAATTAAGACCTTAGATGAACTGACGATAAAGCTAAGTCAACACCACTGTTACATCCTATTCTGTTCGATATGCGAAACATGGCTGCCATGGTGTAGCTACACAAAATGAGCCAACTTTGTGGTTAGAATATTATCAAAAAAATTCTATTGATACGAGTGAAACTAAAAATTGCGAAGTTAGCAGTTTTTATTCCACCATGAAAACAGGAAGGGGAAACAAAATAGGCAAATTTTCTCTAAAAGGAAATAAAACCGCCTAAAAGTAAACAATGTTCTGTCATAATTTGTGTCATTAAAGTGGATTTGATATCATAATTAGAACTGATATAGCATTGTGCACCTGTTATACACTGACAAATGTAAATATTGGCACAGCATAACTCATTAAACATATAAAAATGTGTAAAAAGGTAACAACTAAAACTGTTTCAAATGTATAAATCTACAAGTTATATGCAATAATGGGATTATCTATACAGGAGATTATAACCCATGATACACACCGGAAGTTGCTCGTTTTCTCACACAGACTAGGTGTTTATCAATTCCTTTAGGTCGCTCTCATCACATATCAATCGACGACTTGTTTGCCACTAATTTCACATAATATTAACGCTTTGTTGTAGTTCAGCGAGACCCATTAACAAGAACTGTTGTCAATCGTGATAGGTGAAACCTGATAGCGCCACCAAGAGTCGACAATAGAAAATGGTTGCGCTTATGGTTTCTAAGATTCTTGCAAAAATCTCAGTAAGAATCTAGTCAAATATTGTATGCAAATTAGAGAGCAAGATGTACAATAAATCAGAAGTTGTAGTAAGATTGTCACTGTTTTTGTCTAATATGCATACAGATATCTAATCAGAATCTCACTGAGATTCGTGCTGGGATTTACACCCCCTGTCCCTGCCCAATTTTGGTTGACATTTTTGATGCACGTCCCTTCAATATTTCTCAAATTTCAACATTAGCTTTAGACTAAGCATGGAGATTTAGACATTGCTATTAAATCAACAATTATACAGACACTGAATCAGACTGACATTATTAATGCTAAGCTACAAATCCAAATAATAAGCACTGTTAAAAGTGTTCAGAGGTACTATAATAATACTTCAATGGAGAGGAAGGAATCTGTTTCTGAATCAATAAAACACTTGGAATCCAAGTATGATCAAGATATTTTGTGAACAAAAATAAATGCACAAATATTTTCTAGTTCAACAAACTGTTGCCACATACCGTTTCTGAGTTCTTTAACTGCTATTTCACCATCTATGTTTGGATACTCAATAAGTTTAGAAGCTGGATTTACCAATTCTTCATGGAGCAGAATCAAAGACATTAAATCATATCCAGCGGGATCCAAAATATCAGATGCAGAGGCATATGATGGGTTGAGTGAAATTTTGATCAGATTTTTTTTTTGTAATACTGTCAATAAGAATCTACCAAAAAACTAGTTGACAGATCCTCGCTAGAATCTAGCAAGAGAGAATCGTACTATACGGGAGTGTTTGATTCAGTTCCCCCTTTGCATTCTGGTATCATTGCATGTACAGAAGGAGCATTCCTGTGGATTCAGAACTAAAATCTAATCTCAGTCACCATACATACTCTCAGATGAAAACTGGCTGGAAGAACAACATATATAAAGGGCGTAACCCACCACTAAACATAAACAGTGGTGGATCTAAGGGGGTTCTTGGGGTCCGGGTCCCCCCGTTGAAAAATTATTCAATTTGTTTTTGTGCAATATAAAAAAAATCATTAACTTAGTCTGGCGATTTTTAAATTTAGACCCCCCCCCCCATAATAAAATCCTGTATCCGCCCCTGATACTGTGGGTGAGCGCCTTCAGCTGGGTGTGTAGAAGTAGAAGAGAGGAACTGCAGAAAAATTCGCTCTATCAAAAATGATACAAAACACCACTTGCATCTTCGTCGCCCTTAACATTGAAGTATTGTCGGGGCACGGGGCATTCTGGCGGAGATCGCAGAGACACGTGGTTTGCTCTTCAGTGTCAATGTTAACAGATGCATTGAATGAAGGAAGGGTAACATATGATGTGCCTTAAAATACAGAGACTATGGGGTACAGTTCCTCGTACCACAGTCCCTCTATCAGAGGGACTATGCTCGTACACATGGCCAGATGAGCATAGTATGTCATTGCTTTACAAACAAACGTCAACCCGTGAGCCTTTACGTTTTTAGCGTCCGTTGTTATCATCGCTTGAGACTTAAACTCCCGCTATAAAAATGCTGCAATTTGGCATGAAACGAATGCAGGTTGATATGGATGGACTAACAAAGTCAATCCATAAGTCTTCCTTACTACATGGGGACGAAAATTTTTGACTTATTTCACTAGCTCTGCATTTCGCAAGTGTGGAAGACAATATACAAACCCACGACTGTCAGGTTACCAGGGGAACACAAGGTTGTAACCAAAGAAAACTTACTGTATCATTGCACATCTCTAATTCACATAAACCTAATTGTTTTTATTGTCTACAAAATCATCGAAGACTGCCTTATTTTGACCACAGATTTGCCTTTCTTCTGGCACTGATTGCCTGTCATTATCTGCTGCAATGCTTAGACA